TTTCCATCTACTTTATCGCTATCTCAAAATCCTAAGATAGATTTTTCACTTTTATGTCTTTCATTTTCTACATATGAGTTTCACAATAAAGGTTCTTCCTCGATGGATGAACTACCGTATGTTGAATCAACAGAAAAAGAAAGAGAAAGATATTGAGGCTGGGAAGTCTTTGTGTTTTCAACAATTTGATCGATTGTCATATTCTTCTTCAAGTAAGCTTGTTGAAGTAGTTCATGATTTATGAATCAGAGAGACTTGATCATGGATTTCATATTAATCGAAAGTCATTCTCGCATACGGCGCCAACATTCCAGTCGACCTAAATATTGTGTCACTGTATGTGGCTACGATGTATTGTCCACTTTGGACGTAAGAACACTCCCAGCTTTTTCCTTTAGAAAATGTGCATTGTTTGGTTGAGGTGTATGGATGTTTTATATAAACTACCATTAGTCTCGATTCTCCAAAAAATGTGGGACTATTTTGGTCAGATTTGGAACGGTTATCCCCAATCGTGACAGGGGCACAATGCGAACTCTGAGTTTCCACAGACGAAGCCAACGTTCTATGGTGTAACCAGAAATGCGGGATGAAGTCTTGATGCGATGGAGCAAGTTTTCGATGCGGAAGAGATGGGATTGAGCCTACAAGGTTCGCACTGCAACACCCAAGTCAGTTATTGACTGAAAAGAAGTTTGGGAGTAAATTATGGTTAAAAACATACCTCGAGTCCTAGGTGGAATGTCTTATATATGATGACCAGTTACAGATCCCCTTACTTTCTGGTGGTATGCGCGAACCATTGGATGACATTCTACGAAAAAGGACTATCCATGATGTATATTGAGTACGGGTCCGAAGGTCACACACCTTCAACACCTTATGACTTTAGATTGATGATTGTGTCTTTCGGTTTTAGGGGGTAAGCCACTCCCCTAAAAAAGGAAAGATTGCAAGGAAAATCATGGTCAGAGAATGCAAAAAGTAAGAAAGATTTTTAGAAATAGTACCTTTACATTCTTCGCTATCTTTTTGGGAGAAGCACCCTTTGCAAGAGTAGAAAAAGAAATAATAAAAGAGGTAACTTTTTATAGTGGTAAGTAGAAACGTTGGAGGTTACACCTCAGGAAGTTAGTAGGGCATGTGTCAACATCTGATGGAGAAAAGTGAAAGATCACTATTCATGTCCTTGGAAGTTGGTATATAATGATGGTGAAACTGTTGCACGCGTGTCTTGATGAGACGCTTTGAAAAAAGCAGTTATGATTAACTATGACGTCAGGAAATGAAGGAAATGAAAGGTTGGTAGTCGAAATCTGGTGATTACAAAAAATGACCATTTTTGCATTGATTCGAAATGGACATTTATTGGGGGCAATTTATTAGCTGAAGATTTCAACAGTTGATAAAAATATGAAAGTTGATTTGAGAAGAACATGTTTTAAAAATAACATGAAATTTGACCTTATAAGATTATTTTATAAAGCTCATTTTTATGATTCGACATGTCGAAAGGCAACTTAAAGTGAAAGGAATATTTCAAGATATATGAATACTTCGACAGTCACGTTGGTTGAATTCAAAGTTGAATTCAAAAGCTTCGAGCGAGAAGTTTAAATTTCAAACTAATGCGTTTCGCCAGGAAGACGCGTGGAAGCGCCAGAATGTATGCATGTAAAAGGTGTCGAACGTGGCGCAATCTCATAGAAAGACCGTTAAGGTCGAATTAGTATAAATAGGAGTCTTAGATGTTAGGATTCAAGGTGTTCACATCTTTGTACAATATACTCAAATACTCAAAGTACTAGTGTTAGAGAAACGAGTTAGTGAGACATGTACGTAAGATGTACCATATTTACATTCGAAAGTTATTTACATTTAATGAAATTTCTTCATGTCATTTAAATTCTATACGATTTACAGTCTATAGTAGTTTTCTGTTTTATTGCTTTTATAAGGACACTTTATTTTGATATCAAAGTGATTGTCTTCGTTTAAAGAAGTTATCATCAAAACCTTTTTCTTAAAAACTAGAACACAATAGTCCTGAGATCAATCTGATCGATCTCACAAGTAACTGAGTCTTTTTAGAGATTTGGAAGATCAGCGGTTGTTTACCAAATTACGGAGTAAACAAGCGGTTGGCAGGAAAATAAGTAAATTGTTGAAGTGGTCGTTTTAGGGAGGTTTTTGCGTGACATGTCTTGTATGATTAATGAATCTGTTGATAGGAAATATAGTTGCCCATTGTTGTGTTATTCCGAGCGGTTGGCCGGAAATTATGAATTGTAAAGGCGTGGTTGTTAAGACGTTGTATTGTGTCTGTGCTATTGGCCGAACTAGTGGTCGAGGAGGATGTTGATGCTGTTAGGTACCAAGCGGCATTTAGGTTGTAAGGTGTGTCGGGGGGTTATGTTTTGGATTGTCGAGCGGTATTAGGTTGCAGGACGTGTCGAGGATTATGAATTAGTTGTTATGATGTCCTAGTTGCTATGCATATCGAGGGGCACGTAGTTCCCTATCCCTTTTGCCCGTACATGCTATGTTTTGATCGTTACCAGTGTTTTGAGAATTATTGTTAAGTTGTCGTCCGATTATGCTAATGATTGAATCATTGATTGATGTGGTAGGCTTATGGTCAATGTTGATTTGTGTTAAGTTGTTTGTTGTTGTGATTGTCGCTGTGAATTCTTGTTGATAATGCGAAGTTGCAGGGAATTTTAAATGATGATGAATTACCTCTATTTACTGATAATAATGGTGATATAGGCTTATGCCTTATGGTAAATGGTGATTATTGTGAGTATGTGATAGTGCATTCATTGAGTCATATACATTTGCATACTCTATGATGGCCTGGATTGGCAAACTGCAAAGAAGGCTTATGCCTTGTTGATGCCTCTATTTATTGGCAGAATTATTAAGACGGGAGTTCTGCTCCATTGGTACCACATGCATTTGCATAAAGATGAGTTGCATTCTGTGTTACATTCTGAGTCATTGTGTGGTTGATCTAATCATGCTTATGTTGTTAAAAATTTGAGAAGTGGTGAATATGTATGAACTGACTTTAATGTTTTATTTATCATGCATTCTATTATAATGTTCGATATCTCACCACTTCTGTTTGAATGTTACCCCAATGTTGGTAACGTGCAGGTAATCCAGAGTGAAGGCCGTTTACCTTCAGTAGTTCGAGTCGGTGTCATTGCTCTGATACGTAACACTCGGGAGGATGAACGCTTGTTGTTTCATTGTTGTTATTATTTCAGTTGATTAAACTTTAAGTTGTTATTCTTTAAATGATTGTTATTTGAAGTTGTCTTAGTGGGACAAAGATGTTATATTCCTTTAAGTTTAATATTATGACTCCGCCGCGTAGTTGTGAAAGTTGATGTTTCCTTTAAGATTGAATTATGTTTGTTGTTGGTTCATCCAAGTTTAATGTGTTATGTATCGGTAATGAATATCATTGTTTTAAGTTGAATTTGTGACATCCTGATTCAGTTGTAAAATTTTTATAACTCTGATTTATATATATTGTCGGGTAGAATTGGGATGTTACAGTGGCGGTTACTACTAGTGAAAGTGTCGCGTTAGAATTTCCATCTACTTTATCGCTATCTCAAAATCCTAAGATAGATTTTTCACTTTTATGTCTTTCATTTTCTACATATGAGTTTCACAATAAAGGTTCTTCCTCGATGGATGAACTACGGTATGTTGAATCAACAGAAAAAGAAAGAGAAAGATATTGAGGCTGGGAAGTCTTTGTGTTTTCAACAATTTGATCGATTGTCATATTCTTCCTCAAGTAAGCTTGTTGAAGTAGTTCATGATTTATGAATTAGAGAGACTTGATCATGGATTTCATATTAATCGAAAGTCATTCCTGCATACGGCGCCAACGTTCCAGTCGACCTAAATATTGTGTCACTGTATGTGGCTATGATGTATTGTCCACTTTGGACGTAAGAACACTCCCAGCTTTTTCCTTTAGAAAATGTGCATCGTTTGGTTGAGGTGTATGGATGTTTTATATAAACTACCATTAGTCTCGATTCTCAAAAAAATGTGGGACTATTTTGGTCAGATTTGGAACGGTTGTCCCCAATCGTGACTAAGGGGCACAATGCGAACTCTGAGTTTCCACAACGAAGCCAACGTTCTATGGTGTAACCAGAAATGCGTGATGAAGTCTTGATGCGATGGAGCATGTTTTCGATGCGGAAGAGATGGGATTGAACCTACAAGGTTCGCACTGCAACACCCAAGTCAGTTATTAACTGAAAAGAAGTTTGGGAGTAAATTATGGTTAAAAACATACCTCGAGTCCTATGTGGAATATCTTATATATGATGACCGGTTACAGATCCCCTTACTTTCTGGTGGTATGCACGAACCATTGGATGACATTCTACGGAAAAAGACTATCCATGATGTATATTGAGTACGGGTCCGAAGGTCGCACACCTTCAATACCTTATAATTTTAGATTGATGATTGTGTCTTTCGGTTATTGGGCATATGGCCGGTCCATAACAATATTTTTATAAATTATTTTAATCTAAACAATTTCTTTTTTAAAAAATTGAGAATGTATTTATAATGCATCATACATTTAGATATTATAATGATAATGCATCATACATTTAAGAACTAAAATATCAGTTTACTCTTGCAAATACAAAGAGTTTAATATTAAGTTTGGACTTTCCAATTATAAGTTAACTCCAACCATTAGCTTAAGTAATTTTTGTCAACTCCTCTTGTTGCTGCCTAAGAACATTTCATATTCAGAACTGCCACATTCATGACAAATCCTCTTATTCTTTGCAGCAGAAACACAATTCTAAGCAACATCTCCAATGGAAAATCAAATTTGCTAATATGAACCATCTGAAACAGAATTTGAAAATTAATGTTCATCACTTAGTTCCAAGAAAACACTAGTAAAAGTAATTTTCAAACATCTACCTTCATTCATTGCCATTTGCATGTCAACAATCAAAAGATTTTCGTCTTTTCGCACTACTTGTGCTTTTCCTTTCACATTTCACTTCTTCATCAACAAAATTCTGATCCGACACTTCTACAAGAATCAAACAAAACTCAACTGTGAGAATTAAGAAAGTCGTTAAATAAAAATAATTATAGTTAACTATTTGATTAATTAGACTAACCTGTATCGCTAGAAATCATATTTTGATCATAAACTTGAGATTCATACATTTTTTTCCTATGGCTTAAACTAACAACTTGAGTTGTTGTAGGGTATGATGGAGCTACTACATTTTCTTGTTTGTTTGAACTTCGATAGTGCTGAATCCATGGATTTGCGATTAAATCATTGCGCGAATTACCTCTACTCATTTGTGAATTCTCGCGTTCGAAATTCATCTTTTGCCAACAGCCACCGCGAAGAACCTTGAACTGTTGGTAAATGTGAGAAAAAAATTATAATCTAAGAAATTTTATTAAAATATTATAGAGATTTAAAGGGCAAAATTAAGAGAAGTTTAATTAGTGTTACAAAATTTTAAAATTTTAAATAAGATAATGAAATGAAACCTGGCCAGTAGTAGAATTTCCTTGTTTAGAATCATATAAGTCATTAACAAAAGATGCTTCTATTGACTTTATATACATGCTGTGTTTTTCATCTGTCCATTCTTCAGTTTCTCTAATGCCCTGTGATTTTATCAAACCATAATATATAAAGTTAATTATAGATAATCATAGGCCAGCAATGAATATTAGCACAATCTGCATAAAATATATATTTCTTTTATGCTTTTACTTATACCAAAATAGAAGCCAAAGGAATATTCTTTATTTCTTTTGTGAAAAGATATTTTTCATTTCAGATCAAACGTAACTAACAAAAGCATGAATTAATGCATGTACTTAGATATATAATTGTATATATGTTTCAGAAACTATATATATATATATATATATATATATATATATATATATATATATATATATATATATATATATATATATATATATATATATATATATATATATATATATATATATATATATATATATATATATATATATATATATATATATATATATATATAAATATAAAGTGGCAATAATATATTTGTAAAGATCTAAATCTATGGACACCTCCTCAAATGCATAATCAACCCCTAAATCTTCTATCTTAATAGCAATCACATACAACTTTTCCTCCTCTAAGAGAAAAATCCAACAAAAAGATCCATTTCATATAGGTCAAATAGAAAGGAATAATTGGTAGTAAAAATATCTAAGAAACTTAGCGTGAGAAAGAAAAAGTACCTCCATATGTTTCTTCAAGAGTGATATAAAGACGGGTTGATTCGTTGTGAACTCGTCCGAGTTGGAAATTGTGTTGTGTCTTTCTCTCTTTCTTTGAAGGTGAAGAATGATGAAAACAAAAATGATGAATAAATGAGAAATAAAAAGAGAAAGAGAGAGAAAATTGAGACGGTGTTGTTGTTGGAACAAAAAGAGAATGCAGTTGTATTCACTTTTACACGTGTCGTGGGACCAATTCATTGCCACATCACTTTTGTCCTTTGTTCATAGATATTTTCATTGGAGCATCAAAAATATCTGTTATCCTTATTTTTTTTGTTTCATGAAATAACTAAATATCTCTTATCTTTCTACCTCACATTTCTTCATCTTATGATATATTTATGTTTAAAATATTCATGTGGCGTAGACATTACTGAACTTCAAAATCTGTCAACCTCTTTACTATTTCTGCTAATTATTTTTTATTTGTTTATTTATTTACAATGAAATATTCTTTTTTATTTATTTATTTTATGAGATATTAAAATGATGTACGATGCTTTCTGGACCTGTTCTAGATATTTTATCTGTGCATCTGTACTTTTGTCTGGCCAAACTTCTTTTGGAAGTGATTGAGTGAAATAGCGTCTAAACGACAAAATAGATATTTTAAATTTATTTACAATTTTTTTAAAAAAAATATTAACAGGCGATAACTTTATTGCATTAAAAAATTATATTTGGAAAAAGCTTTTTTTTTTTAGGTTTTCAAATGTATGGTTGTATAATTTTCAAGATATTATAGTATATGTTTAGTTTATGAGCATGTTTCTTTAAAATATATATTAACATTTGTTTATAAGAAAATCGAATCGATAATTACAGAACATGATCAGCTTTTCATAAAGTATCCAATTCAATTAATGTATTCAGTTGAACTTATCGTCTGCAACATGTTAATCTGGTCAAATTAGACATCTCCAGATATTTTTATTTATTTAAACTTATCCACAAACACAAATAATTGCATGTCAACGAGCTATTTTAAACCTATTTTGTAAAAAATTCGAAATAACTAATAAAAGTAGTTTTTATAGATTATATAAAAACATTAGTTCTATTTTATATCTTGTCATAATGATATTTAAAAATAATCATTATATATATATATATATATATATATATATATATATATATATATATATATATATATATATATATATATATATATATATATATATATATATATATATATATATATATATATATATATATATATATATATATATATATATATATATAGGGGCCATATCTCATGAGAAAGTCTTTCTTATGTGAGAGTGAGAGGGTTTCTTTTTAGCCTTTAGATTACATTGGATGGTTGAGATTATAATAAATGAATAAGTGAGTCACGTGCTTATGTTTTAAATTCATTGATGAAGTTATTTTTTTTCTTCTAAATCTTACTTCTCTCTCCTCATTTATTACGTTAACTTTTTTTTACTCTTTCTTCTCTCTCCTATTCTATGTCTCTCTTTAGTAGCTTTTATTCTGCAATTAATAATATCAGCATGCCATTGATAACATTCCTAATAAACACACCAAAATTATATATTAACACAAATTAGTTAATAGAATTAAAAAATATGTTCTTCCTGTAACTGAAAGAATTTATAATTAGTTTTATTATAAGAATGAATCATATCATAATAATAACGAATCACATTATGAATTGACGTTTGACAATCCTATAATAAATTTATAATTCACTGTAACAATGAATCATACTCTAATAATGAATTTAAAATTAGTTCTCATTGTAACTAATTTAAAATTAGTTCTTACTGGAATTTATATTTAGATGCTTGACAATTTCACTGTAAGAATGAATCACACTCATATTTTAGAGACCTTAAATAATATTATACTCTTACTTTCAAAGTATAAACTTCAAAATGAATAAACTACAAAGTTTCATCCAGAAACTATAAACAAATTGCAAAGTTCCAAAAATAAAAAGCTAATTAAACTCCATTACATCCATGACAAAAGTTTCAAATTAAAACTCTTCATCCAACTGTGCAAGTTACTTCAACAATCAAGAAGTTACTTCATCCAACAGAGCAAATTATTTCAACCAATAGAGCAAGTTACTTCATCCAACAGAGCAAGTTACTTCATCCATGATAGAAATTAAAATTCTTCATTATGCTCCAAATTTTCAACCAGATCCTGAGTAAAAGTAATATGAAAAGTTAAGCATTTCAATAAACTAAATCTCTAAAGATAAAGCTGAAATATAAATGTTTCTTACCAAAAATTATGAAGATTTCGTGGGGCAGTTGCGACTATCATGATACGCAAATTGTTTACAAGATTTACAAAATCTTGTTCGCTTTTTTTGTTGTTCCATTGCTTTCTCTTTTCCCCCTTTGATTCGTTTTCCACATCCTTTGGTATTTGAATGTTCAGGTGGAAAAATATCAATTTCTTTTGGTACATTAGAACCGATGAAAACCTCTAATTCATCTAAGGTTGTTGGTGCAATATCATTCTTCATCTTAGCCAATTTTGATTCAGTACTAGCACCATCATTTATAATGAGGAGCAACTTCTCTTTATTTGTACCAGCCATATGCATGCATTTAAAAAATTGTGCCCATGCATTTGAGATTAACTTACTTTCACTTTCAAATTTAGAACACTCCTCCAACACATTTTCATCGGAAGCAAAAACGGATCTACTTGTTGCTAACTTCGTCCATCTATTAACAACATAATGACTTGGTATTTTATTCAAACCTTTTCCCTTCAATATAAAAAGAATATGTCGACAGGGCATGCCTTCAGACTCAAACAATTTACATGAACAATGTGCAATATGATTTGAAAGTTGATACACAACCTCTCTATATTTGCTCAATTTGTTTCCATTTACCACAATGTTATCTATTATAGAAAACAATGAGTTCTCACCTTCCTCTTTCTTTCCTTCTATTCCACAATCTACACATGCACTCCACAACTCTCTCTGAAATATGTAAAAGTTTTCATGAGTATATACCTCTCTACCATGCTTCTCTAAATCCATTTGCAACTTCAATTCTGGAAAAGAATGAAGTGAATCATTATCTGCAAGAAGTTCCTTATGCCTTTGTGCCTCTATTGCAGAATCAAATCGCATCCAAAATTCCACCAAGCTAAGGTTCTTGTTCAAGTAATTTCCAAAGAATGAATTTTCGCTCTCTGATCTTGAAGTTGTTCTCAAAATTCCCGCCATAAATATATCTTTAAAATAGGCTGGTATCCACATACTTCTAATATCAAACATTTGAGAAAGCCAACCATTCTCCTCTAATTTAAAATCACTAATAATACTATTCCATCTTGACTCAAATTCTTCAGGAGTCTCTGAATTCCAAACACATGACTTAAGACGATTATTAAAATCAATGTTGGCATTTAAGGAAACGCCTACCTTTTCTGAAACTTTTTTTAAAATATGCCACATGCAAAATCTATGTGAAGAACCATTAAATACCTTCTCTATTGCAATCTTCATAGCTGGGTCTTGATCTGTTATGATCACAGTAGGTTTGTGCCCTCCCATTGCTTTCAAAAATGACTCAAACAACCACACAAATGAATCGACTTTTTCATCGGCTAAGAATGCAGCTCCAAATGTTACACTTTGACGATGATGATTTACACCTGTAAATGGTGCAAAAATCATACAATACTTGTTTGTACTGTATGTTGTGTCAAATGAAATCACATCTCCAAATAAAGAGTAATTTTTCCGACAAATACCATCAGCCCAAAATACATATTTCAGCCTACCTTCATCATCAACCGCATAGTCATAGAAAAATGAATGGTTCATCTCATGTTTTCTCCTAAAATTATCAATAAACATATGTGCATCCGAGTCTTTGATCAATTCTTTCAAATCTCTTGAATAGTTTTGAAAATCTCTTTGAGTGCATCCTATATTTTCATAACCCCCAACTTGCTCTTTCAATAATTGGTAAACTTTGGAAGTTCCCACATTAGCTTTGTTACAAGAAAACAATAATTTCTTGTGAGCATTGTTAACAGTCCTTGCTGATCTTAGGAGTTGTTTCTTTCTAGGTGTGACTAATGCATGTGTATGACCTTCATAGAATTTTGCAACTTCATATCTACCATCTATCATCCTCTTAAAAGCAATTTTTGCATTGCATCCTTCCCTTGTCAATTTTCTTTTTCTCACTTTAGGCAAACTATTTTCACTAATAACCAATCCATGTAAGGTTACCGGTTTTTCTACTTTAAATCCTTCTTTTGAGCATAAAAAATACTTCCATTTCACCCCGTTTTTATCACTTGTTTGAGATGAATTACGCACGCTAAATCCAACCGAATGTGCATACATTTTATAAAAGTTCTCTCCTTCTTCTATAGAATCAAATATCTTACCGATTATAGGTTTGAATTCATCTTCACACATAGGAATCCATTCTTCTGACATGTTTTCTACATCATCTAATTTTTTTGACGCTGATGCTAAATCAACTCTTTCGTCACTCATTTCCATACGAATATTCCTATAATAAATAAAAAAATACATGTAAATAAAATAAAAAAATAACAACACAAAATTCAAATTAATATGTATTTCAAAACAGTAGATACTAATATTCCAAAAGTAGTATATACTGCAAAAAAATATTAATAAGTGTTGTTCCATTTCATATTTATAAATGACCAAATAAGTACTAGCATATTACTAACATGGAAACAGTAAAGAAAACAATAATATAACTAACATGAAAATAGTAGATGGAGAGAAAGAGGAAACAAACTTACCGAAAATGTTGAAGATTGGAACAAAATGAAAAGAGTGTAGCAGTAGAATTGCAGGTAGTAGGTGAAGAGATGCAAGGCTTTAGAATGGAAGAGTAAAAGTTGAGGTTATTAGTAAAATATTGCAAGACTTTAGGGAAGAGAAAAGGTTTTATTAAAAGAAAACACAATTAAATAGATAGATAGAAACAAACTCACGTGATAACTTAAAACATTATTTAATCTTAGTCATAAATTTTGATCCAATGGCTTATAATTACTCCTCTCACTCTCATATAAGGGACCCCTTTCTCACTTGATATGTCCCCTATATATATATATATATATATATATATATATATATATATTAGTTCTCATTTTATAAGACTACTTGATATAGAATAATTCATTTAGATAAATTATGCCATAGAGAGTTATTTAAATTATTAAATTAAATAATTTATAAAGTTGGAAATAAAATTTTTGAGAATTTTTCACAAGTTTATGATATTTATTTTTCAAAATCATTACTTATATGCAACATTAGTTGTTTTTTAAATAAATTTTTAAAACAATATATTACTTTATGAATTTAATTGATATACACTAATTGTGTAAAATAATTTTACACTGTCAGTTAATCATAATCGTCAAATTTTATAATTATTTAATTTTTATTTTAATAACACTTAAAATATTATGAAAATAAAAATATTGAACTAATGTAAAATAATTTTATAATAATATTTAATGTAATGAAAATTTATTAATAAATCATATTATAAAATTAACTTAAAAATATCAGAGTGACTTGACAAAATACATAGTGATAATTGATTGTCACTATATATATTCTTTTTTTTTTAAATACTATCATATAAGAGTTGCAATCTATTGATTGTGTAAAAACATTTCACACAATTGTATATATCAATTAATCTCTTATTTTATCTTTATACTAATACATTATTAAATTCTTATATAGAAGATATACTTATAGTATAAAGCTATTTTATCTTTAAATCAATACATTATTAAATTCTTATATAGAAAATGCACTATAAGCAATTTTATCTTGTCTATATTCTGTTAAATCAACTTTATATTTTTAAATTATTTAAATAATATAATAGATTATTATCTTGTCTATATTCTGTTAAATCAACTTTATATTTTTAAATTATTTAAATAATATGATAGAATATTAGTTTATTCAAACTACTGAATAGTAGTACTCGAAAACTTGTCTAGTTTAGAAGTTGGGATTCAATTAAAGAATATGTAGTGGCATTTCACAAACCTTATAAACAGTAAAATAGACTATTGAAAGTTATTACCCTTACTCTATAAACAATTGTAGTTGGTTTCATGATAATTAATTTTGACATGTCTAAAAAAGAATTGATTAATCAAAATGTTTTTTAAACACTAAAACTTTCTGTTCAATTCTTGTGAGAAATTACTCATATTATTTTATCTTCATTAATCCAAACGTGATTTTGTTTATATTTGTATAAAAAATAAAAATTTAAAAATTCAATTAAAATCCAAAAAAAATTTCACTGCATATTCAAAATCCGTTTGCTGGATAGAGAAAACAACGACCGGGAAAGACTTACAACAAATCGTACTCTTTACAGGCATTTGAAGCTTTAAATAATGAAGCCAGCAAAGCTCAAAAGAAACATTAAATAATGAGGGTTCAATTGAAAATGGCAAAGCGTCGTCATCCATTCCCTCTCCAGATCCTGATTGTTACCCCTTTTGTTAAGGCCTTCGGAAACCTTTTACACTGTTTTTGACATTTATTTTTTTGGTTAATCATTAAAAATAATGAACATACATTCTCAAGAAAAGGGACTAAAGTGTAATTTAAGCCGCTGTTTGATGCAGTTACCAAACACACCAACATTTCGTCAATCATTTCTTTAGAATATTCAACAAGAATCATGTATATTACTAGGGTGTAACCACTGTAATTATTCTTAAGACAAATAAAATTTGTTTTGCAAAAATTCAATCAAAATATCTGTACCAACAAAAAATAAGAGCCAAAATTTTTTCAACTAAACAGAATAATTGACTGGAATTGACAAGACTGAAGTAGAACTGCATATGAACAAAATAGTGTTGACTTCATAGTTTGAGAGCTTGGAAAGAAGTAAAACTGTGAAACCTGGCATTAACTCCCTCAAGGTTCATGATCTCACTCCAGTCTTGCCAGCATTGAATTACTATAAGCTTGCTTTCTAACCTTTAGTCATTTACAATCTTCAAATGCCAAGCTTAAATCAATAGAATACAGAAGTCGGTAATAGCAAAACAAGCAAGTTTTGATTCAAGTTTCTGGCTTCTGTTCACTTTCTGTAATGACAACATCTTGCAAATCCATTTGCCCTGCATGAATACAGTCTGTTAAAGCATATATGCCGTAAAAATAACCAGGTTGAACTAATATTGGTCACACTGGAAGAAACAAAGCTACTGAGAATAACTAATAGTAACAAATTCTGTTGGTTAAAAACATTTCTTCTCCACAGGACATATTTAAAAACTTTGCTTTGCTCCATATACGTTGTTTATTCGCACTCCAGAAGAAATTCGATTATGCAAAAACTTGCATGTCTTAAACCCTCAAGTTACTAGTTTAGATATGTGCCTGAAGTATGGATGATCATACCTAACAAGGAAATCAAAGAGGGTGATTTTGATGAGCCATTTACTCTGATATCTTCATCTGCAAAATATAATGTCAAAATCTGAGGATGAACACTAAAATATTGAAGCAGCAAATGGAGGATCTGTCATTTCATTTAATGGCAGGAAAACACATCTCTTAGCCAGAACAATTATGTTTTCAAATGCATTTCCACAGATGTTACTCATAAGAACAATTACATTTAGATGTCATCTTTTTGTGTCATATTTTATGTTGCTCTATGTCTTAAATGAACTGAATTTTAGTTTTTTCTCACGATATCCAGGGTCATTCTCTTATCTCAGTCTCCCAAGTTTAGTAAGCAAAATAATTATCTGTTTCCTAGCTTTCTTAATATAAACTTAAATCCAGGAAATCTTCGTCCAAAATTATGATATGTTCTACAATAGTATGAAGCATCAAAGTTGCATACCTGTACTCCCAATTGATTTAAGGATGTCTGATTTCTTAAAAGTATATCCTATGAAATTAGTGTCTTTGGATGTCAACATCTGCAAGTGTCGAAAACAAAAATAAAACATCACTACTTAGTAGTTAAAGATGTGGTGCAACTAAGGATCACTATGGCCATATGCACCATTCCAGTATTGCACTATTGTTTATCTTTATCAAAATAACCTTCATCTTTGATCAGTAAATATAACAGGAGCCAGACATATTTTTTTTATTAAAAAGATGAAAGCTTAAAAAAAATACCTTTCTCCAAGGTCCCATTGTTTCTGTTACGGATGGTGGTCCTACCTGCCAATTATTGAAATCACAAGTTTAAATGTGGTGAGGAAGTATGAAAATAAGAAGGCATAAATCAACTATAATGCTCAATAATATCTAAAAGCTACATTTTTGGAAATATTCTTTTACCGACTCGTTGTCTGCACATGATAACAAAATTGAAAGGAAAAGTCCAGATAACTGAGATGTGGATCCCATCCAGTGACATGAGAGGGGGGTGGGATATGGACCCTTAAATAAAAAATGGGTGGGAGGGGCTTTTAATATGAAAAATGGGAGAAGAAAATTTTTAAGGGTGAGATTTGAAACACGCGAGAGAAAAAAAATTGAGAGTCCAATATATAATAATACTTCTCAGGAAAGATTGGGGAAACAATTTCAAAGAAAAAAATATAAGATTCTTTTAATTTTTCTTTATCACTTCAAAAACTAACCAATTCTTACAGCACCAACAGCAGCTAGTAAAGCATTTCTACACTTGCTGAGATCAATTAGATACGTTCAACAATATAAGGTGCTTGGATCACCAATTCTTAGAGCATCGTTTAGTCATGTTGATCATTAACAATGTATTAGATGTTTTATGATCCAATGATTAGGAGTTGGATCCTTGTTCCCCCTCTAAATACAATCTTGAATTTCTGTTTGAAAAGAAGGCAAAGTGGGGTTTTTGTGTCTTCCATGCAAGAGACCAGAGGCTGGTTTTAATTAAACAGTAGCAGCAACGATAATTTGCACTGTGATGATCGTGGGGACAGAAATTGCGAGAACACTTGTAGCTAAACCATTTAGGTTATTATCTTCCACATGCATAATGACACTTTTTTTTACATATTCCATATGCTTATAAATCAAATCATTTTAGAGCTTACAGAAATTATAGCATGTGGATAAATTTCACTTATTTCCAATGCATAAACTTTCTGTAATCATGTACTTACATCAGGAAACTTCTCAAAGTTTTGTGTGTCCAAGTCTCCAATGACTGTAGGTTTATATGCAGCTTCCGATTCATAAAGCATGTCCCACTGAATACCCTTGAACCATGGATGAGCCTGAAAAACAATATGTTCAGTATTTTAATAATATTTGGAATCTTCTAACCAAATAACATTAACTGCCTGACTTTTGAGGAATCCATCAATTTCTTAACTAGAATATAGTTAGTATTTTAATGAATTGTCATAATAACTAAGCTATACGTGTTTGGTTTCAGTAGAGTATCATAATTGATTTTACTCCCTGTCAAACATGATTTTAGTGAAAATAGGAAATTGGAAGCAAACAGGAAAAATGCTTCCCAAAAGGGACGTGGGTATTATAGAGTGTCTATACTAAGCCTCACATCGAGTAGTGTGGAATGCTCGGTGGAGTATTTAAGTAGCTTGGCTTCCCCCTTGGTAGGTAGTTTTTACGGGAGGGTTTCTCAAGTTCTTAAATACTCATCCCTTCCCAATGCACTTTTTTACCAAATCGACGTGTTAGCTTTAGTAAAAAATCTCTAAATCAAACATCCAGTTTAGCTACTGTCATGCCAAATATTTTGGAATCCAAATCTTGATTTGACTAAGAGTGATAAAGTAGCTTTTACACTGAGTTGGAAATTTTACTTTAAAGTAAAAATCAACTCTAACAATAATTACTTTACTTTAAACCAACTTTTAAAGTAAAAATCACTCTAACATTAATTACTTTACTTTAAACTCAATTGTAACTCAGTCAATTTGGTAAAAATAATTCCATTCAAAATCACATTAATAGAGCAGTCTCCCAAACAAACAATATCCCATGGGAGTTTTTACCTTTATTTCGTCTACTCCCCTTGTTCCTAGTCTTGTGTCAACATCACATAATAAGCTACAGATGAGATCCCTAGCTTCAGCTGATATCTTGGGTTCTTCGGGGAATTTCAGGCATGCTTTCCAATTCACAATCTGACACAATACAGGAATACCAGCTTGGTGGAAATAATTAATTTAGAAGATATAGAAAGGACGGAAAATTCAATCAACAGCAATACCTTCCGGCAGGTCATCCTTGGATCATCAGAACAGAATGGAGGATATCCAACAAGCATCTCATACATGATTGCCCCAAGAGACCACCAATCACACTCTATTCCATACCCCTTCTTGAGCAAAACTTCAGGAGCCATGTAGTCAAGAGTTCCAACAGTTGAATATGCCTGATGAAATGTAAAAGATGATAAAGTTAACAGACTTCATAGAACATCAAACAAAATTGGCACTTAATATTAGCGGAGGTGTGATAAATTTTGAATGAAAGTTAAAGCATTTTTGAATTTGATTATTCTCTGCTTTTGAAGTAAAAAGTGTTCCCTGGAAGATTTTGAGTATAAACAGTTTCCAGCACCAAATAAACTAATTCAAACAAACATTAATCCATATACTTCAACTATTGTAGTTACACCAATAGGTACCCGTTACATAGAGGGGAACTTGAAATGGGGGAGACTCATACCAATGCACGGCGATTACGTTTCCACTGCTGTAATTTTTCCTTTGGCATCAACCAAGGGGAGACAAAATATCCTTCAGTTTCACTAGTTGATTCTTGACCATTAAAATCTTCATTTTCTAATAAAATCGTTGAATACTTGTCATCAAGAGTCTTGCATAAGCCGAAGTCTGAAAGCTTCAAATGACCATTTTTATCCAGTATAAGGTTATCTGGCTTTATATCCCTACAAGCAAAATATCATCAACTCGGCATAGCAATACTTACACTCAATAAATTTCAGAATATTCCTCCGGATTCATGTTAGTATGTTAAATAATTTTATGTAAGTTAGGTAAACGTGGCTTTAGGTGATTCTATTTTGATCACCTGAAGACCCTCTTAACATTATCAGAAGACCAGTTGGCTGTACAGTAGTTCAATGTAAATCATTTCACAGCAGCATAAAAGTGGACAATGACTGAAGAGAGTGTCCCTAAATATAGTCCTTTATAATTTGATGACACGCTAAAATATGAATTGCATAAGCTCTACTCAACATTTGCATTCCTTATTACTAATAACTTATTAGTATGGTAAGCATGTAAGATACTTTTTTGACTAATTTAAAGAAGACTGTGTTTTATGTTTGTTACCAAGCCATAAGCTTGGCTATACCTTTCAAGTGTTCTCTGCCCACAATTCATAGTCTGCTGTACATAAACTGGCTATTCAACCAATAGAACAAAAATTGTACAGTTTGAAAATTGTCATACCTATGTACATAGTTGTGTTGATGTATTGAGTGGATAGCAAGAATACTTTCAGCAATGTAGAAGCGAGCAACAGTTTCAGAAAGAATATCTTCTCTCATTAACAGTGTCATAATGTCGCCACCAGGTAAATATTCCATGATGAGATATAGGAAATCTGAATCTTGGAATGAATAATGAAGTTTTACTATGCATCGGCTATCAACCTCTGCCAGCAAGTTCCTCTCAGATCGAACATGTTCCACCTAAATTAGAATGACATCAAGATGTAAAAATAAGCACGCTAATTGATTCCAAACTCCAAGGGAGAGAATAAATTTATAGATCATTCATTGCACTTTTGCATTAAAATTCTTAACCTGTATAATTATTGAACTCAAAACTACTCATGACTGATTTCATTCAATTTTTATCCACTGTCAAAATACATATGGTGTCAGCTTTCTGACGGTTTAAGTAAAATTTTAAAACAACAGACTGCTAGAAACAGTAAGCAGGTATAAAGAAGAATCAAGTTTGATGATTTTACAACACCTTCTAGTAAGAATATGGTTACAAAAATAAGGTTTTCTGATAAATGAAAACTAGCAAGGCATCCCAGCTGTATACATTAATTTTTGGAGTTAAAATTAAGTTTTACCATATAAAAAAAACAAAAATCAAACCATTACAGCATTGGTTTGTTTAATTATGGAAGTATTAATGAAATCAATTACGTGTAAGAAATAGGGCAAAACGGATCAATTATGTGTTTTGATTCTTTTCTGTGGTGCAAATTTGAATATTAATGCATTAAAGTAGTACATGCAAAGTTTGACAGACTACCTGCCCACGGCTAAGCATCTCTGACTTCTTCAATTTCTTCATGGCAAAAATCTCTCCAGTACTTTTACCACGGCATAACCTCACCTACATTTTTCAGAAAAGCTAACTTACAGTGATGCATGAACATACTTAAGTTCACAACAACCAGACACCATCCAAGAAACTACAAGTTTATGAAGTAAAATTAGCACTAATCACTTGTTTAATATTGTTTTCGTACCTCACCGAAAGCACCTTTACCAATTACTGTTAATTGCTCAAAGTCATCAATTCCAATTTTACGTCTTTGAAGCCTCATGTACTCGGTTTCTTTGCGCTCTAAATTCCTCATCATCACTTCCTGCTCTTCCACTGGTAATTGAGATTCCTGCACTCTCCTTTGAAGCGCTCTACGTCTGAAACAAAGCAATAACAAATTTCAAACAATTAATAATACTTGATTTTACATATATACAACATGACATTTCCATAATCACCTGATATACTAAATTACATATAAACTATATTGCTTAAGTGCAAATAATCGTATAATTCACATAATAATCTGAAAATCTATTACTATACAACAACAACAACAACAACAACAACAACAACAACAACATCAACAACAACAACAACAACATCCAAGTCTTATCTCACTAAGTGGGATTGGATACATAGATCAACTTCCGCCATAATGTTCTATCCAAAACCATACTTCTATCTAAATCGTTAATCTGGAGATCTTTCTTAGTAACTTCTCTTATAGTTTTTTTAGGTCTTCTTTTTACCTCTAATTGTTTGACTTCTCTCCATCTGATCTACTCTTCTTACCACATAATCAACAGATTTTCTCTCTACATGTCCAAACCACCTAAGTCTATTTTCCACCATCTTTTCTACTATAGATTTTACCCCCACTCTCTTCTTTAGTACTGTCATTACCGTGCATCCAACGCAGCAATCCTCGTGTCTAATCTTACCACACATCTAACGCTATTGCTGCTACACTAAAAATCAATTAGTATAGGTGCAACCCTAACACTCTCTTTAATATTGTCATTTTTAATCTGAACATATTTAATCTTATCACACATCCAATAGCAGCAATCCTCGGGTCTGCAACACTAAGAATCTATTACTACTATATTCAAAAAAAAAAAGTGCTAGCCGAATGAGTCTCCTTATAATAAGCATCAAAGCGACGCAAATTCAGAATGATATAATTCAATGTAATTATTTCCAAATGATATATTAGATTAAAAATCTAACTATTTTCAATTCAATTCAAACATAACCATAAAGTGATAAAAAAAGATAAATTAATAAACTCGTGCTGCAGGATTATCGATTAATTTGCAGAGATTTGAAACTAAACTTAACACATACTATCAAAACCGAAGATCACAAACTGAAAGTAATAAATTCGAAAAGGAAAAGAAAAAATAAAAAACAGTGAAATGCGAATAGTAGTAGCAGTAGTAGGTAGGTAGTTAGTTTGGTAGTTATGTACCTATCTTTGCGATCTTGCAATCCTTGAAGATAATTCTTGTAATGATTCTCGATGAATTGTTTAGCGGCGGCGGCTTTCTGTTTAGTAACCGGAGAAGAAACCGACACATCGACGCCGGAGTCAAAGTCGCCGCGATCATACTTCATGTTGATAGCTCCAAGCCTAACGGTTCCATCGTAACCGTCCATTTAGATCGCCGATCACGAGATCTGTGATTGCGATGATGATGATGAATAATCCGTGAAGATTCAACACGACGGGGTTAGTAGTGATGATGAAGTTGTTGGAGAGAGAGAGAGAGGAGTATTTGTTGGGATTGAAAATGTGCTGCAAAGCTGTAGTGAAGCTGTCTTATCTGTAGCTATGAGTTGTCTCTTCTACAAATTTACAATATTTAGAAGAAAAAAATGTTTAAATATTGAAAAAATTGGCTCGGCAAAAATAAAGAGGAAGAATAATGAGGAAACTTTTTTTTTTAATAACACACAAACTCTCATAGGAATATTCCTTTTTAAAGGATAATTACTCTTTTGTTCATAATTAAATTTATGTGCAATTTACTATTCTCTCCATCTTATAATAAATAGATATGTTAATTTTAATAGTAAAATTAGTATTATTTAATTTAAAAAATTTCCTCCCCTTCTTTTTCTTCTTTTAAACCAAACATTTATATATTAAAAAATATCTCTCATCTCTATTTCTCTTCTCTTCCTTTCATTAAAATCTCTCTTTTCATATCTATCTGTCAACAAATATTAATGTGAATGTCAACAAAACAAATTAACACTAAAAGTGCATAACACTTAAATTAAATTTTATAAATAATTATAAAATAAGGTATTTATCAATTTATCATATAAGAAGACAAGATGGTCTGAAAAAGTCAAAAGTAATTTTTTTTATATTTGGTCCAATCACAGCCACTCATTTGAATGTCACGTTTGAATTTCTTTTGGGTCGAAAATCCATCATCTTCAAATCTGCCCTGATTAATGCGTTGTATCTTCCCAAATTCAACCTTTCACATTCTGGCCACATTCATCTGATTCAATTATTAATGTAATTGTTATGTAATTCCACATGCTATATATCATTTTTTTCTTCCTTCCTATAAATAACTTCATATCAAAACAATCCATACTTCACTTCTTCGGTATCGTTTTTTATTCATCTTTGATGTATGTTCTTGACATTATTTTACCTTATTTCTTTTCGATGAGCCATGTTCTGAATTTGTGTTTTGGTTTTTGTTTTCAATATTTTTAATATAGAGGTTCATGTGAACAGATTCTCTATGGGTTATTATGAAAGTGGCGAAGTAAATGTTGGTTTTTATTTTCTATGAATAATTTGTTTTTTGATTGATGTTATAGGTTTCAAGCTAAACCTAAATTCATTCATCTGAATTAAAACTAATACATGTCTTCAGGATCCTTGTCGCCCTGATATCAAGGATGTTATGAGAGTATGTACTGGAGTCAGTGTTAAGGTAATGTATATGTGTCATATGTTAGATGAGTATATATGTTTCCTATTGTTTGATCAGTTATAAATGATGACTCCACAGTGGTATCGTTTGATGATCTTATAGTTGGGAATACAATATTTAGATGCATAAATTCAGACTTTCAGGCTACCGAAGAATATTTTTATGTTGAACCAGTTGATTCTATGAGGCCTTTTCGTACTCTCCTTGGTGTTGGTTTGATCAAGACCACAACTGGTAACCGTGTGTTTGGGGCACTCAAGGTATATATGACCTTATCTCTTAAGAATTAATAATTAATAATGTTTATATTCTTTTGAGATTAATGGTGTTTATTAAGTGTGTTTTGATTGGTTGTAGGGAGCTTTGGATGGAGGTTTGGATATTCCTCACAATGAGAAAAGGTTTGTTGGTTCTGATAAGGATAAAAAGGAATTGATGCTGAGATTCACATGAATTTAGATTTTTCGTACCACTTTCATTTTATTTATCGCATTAATTTGATAATCTTTGGCTATTTCTGTTGGAATATATTTCATGTCATGATATATCTAGCCTTAATAGGTACAAACCATGAATTTTAAACTGTTTGATATTGTCAAAACTGGAAATTTAGTCATACAGCTTAAGATTATTGTCAAAACTAGAAATTTAGTCTTACAAATTATGGGACCTCACCCATCTCGAATTCACAGTGATTTTGCTTTTGGCAGGTTTTATTTAAACATTTGCAAGAAATACTTTTCGCGTTGAGGTATGTTGGCAAGATACTTTTTCATGCTCTTTGTGGTCATGCCAAGTCTTGATTTTGCAAATTGTGAATTATGTGATGCGTGAGATGTTTCTGTTGATAACCCGGTGTTATTTGTTCTGTGCAATTGATTGATGATAATAAGCGGTATCATTTTGATGAAGTCGTGTCAGTCCTGTTAGTGAAACTAAAATTAAATATTTGGCTGCATATGTGTTATTTTATCAGGGAGTTGGAAGCAAAAGCCAAATGGAAGGAGAGACGTCTTAGGTTCATGCATGTTTTTGTAGAAATTGATGGGTTATTTGTTGTCTGATGCCTGAATCATATGATGAAATACAATTTGGAGTTTAAGTTCTGGATGGCCATTTTACTTTGCAGTGCAAAATAAGAAAATGTAAACACAAGTTGTTTTAACATCAATTAATCAAAATGTTATAGGTGAGACTCTAGAAAACATGTTCATTTGGGAGTATTGGTTGACGGTTATTTTGACGATGGAGTTTGTGGCTGAAAATTGCAACTCTGATCGCGCTTTATGCTAGTTGGAGCTTTGCTGAAATTGAAGGAATAGGTTGGGTTGGGTTGGTGTTATAATTGTTATGCGGGTTTAGAGAGCTTCATACACTGAAGGGTCATGTAGAATCAGTTGTAAGATTGAAGGTACTTGACATAAACACCATTAAGCATGCATATACCGTTTAAAGATGCTTATATTTGCATACTTAAATATTGTAAAGGATTTCTGAGATAGAATGAATATATAATGTAATTTAATATAATGTTATGCTTAAACTCTCTAAACTTTAGATAATACTATAATCTGCAGTTTGTTTTGAGCACTTAACAAGAGGAGTTCTTTTTTACTTATATTTTCTTTATGCCTATTATTTCTTGCTATTATCACTATATTCATGTCAGGTTTTCTCCATGAAATCATCACGCTCAACACTAAGATGCATGCATCTTTATGATTATTTTCTCAAGTTACACATGAAATTGGGTTTTGCTAGAGATGTTGAAATTCTGGTATATTAGACTTCAGATGTCCTATGACATATTGAGACATCTGAATCCGAACAAACAACAATGGCAAGTTATAAACATACTGTTGCACCCCAAAATTTGCCCTCCCATATTCTCCAAGAAATTGCCAAATCAAGTTGCCAAAGTCCCCAAGGGTTACACAGTGCAAAGACCTCCTATACAGTCAAAACTAGGGCTTGTGTTCTGATCAAGAAATTGAAGGTTTCAAAGGCCCAATCAAGTCTCACATGCTTACAAATATGGTCAAGTGTCCTCATATCAAGTTTCAAGGCATTCAGCTCAAAATTGCACAGTCAAAACCCTAAATTGCACTACAGTCAACTGTAGGGGCAAAATGGTCATTTGACAGTCAAAAGCTCAAACTTTTGGTCAACATATCATTTTGAAGCCACAAACATCATTTGATCAATGCTTGATCATGATTCTCAAAATTTGGCTCAGAAATAATCAAAGATGCAAAAGTTACTATATTTGGACAGTTGAAAAAGTCAACTGAAATTGACCAGGGCATAACTTTCACATGGATTATCATAAAAATTCCATCCAAATCTCATTTTGAAGAGAAAGACATTTCCTACAACTCATCTTCATACTTCAAGTCCAAGAAATGCTCTCACAAAAAGTTATCAATTTCAACATTATAGGTCATTTTCAAAAGTCAACAAAAAGGGACTTTAAGTCAAAGGCCATAACTTGATATTGGTAAATCAAAATGACATGGGACCAAAGGCATTGGTTAGAGGACTCAAAGACCTTTCCAAAATGTCCAAGAAAATGTGAAAAGCTTAAAAATTGAGCAAGTTATGCCTTGTGGAAGTTGGGAAATTTTTGGGAATTTTGAAAAGTCAACAATGGTTCAAATGACCTAAAATTGCTAATGGGCCCATTTATCTTCCAAGATTCATCATTCCAAGCCTATGCACGACCACTTGGCCCAAAGGGAAGTATTTTCTCATTTTTTATTTATTTATTTGAATTATTATTTATATTAATTCATTTAAATTATTTAAATACATGAAAAATACCAAACTTGACCTAAAAAATCTTTTCATGCATGTTTTACTCTCAATATCACGTGCACATCCTAATTAGGCAAGTTTTGGTTGGATTTGAGCTAATTGACACCAAATGCACATGAAAAGATATGGAAAAGATCTTAAGGAAATCAAATATGCAAATCATTGAATGCCATGGATATTATTCAATTTTGTTGACCTAAAAGCTTTACTACATATTCAGAATCACAAACCTAATGGCATTAGACTAAAAGCTGCGCCCAAGAACACTTTGCAAACTTGAATTTTTTTCCATAAAACACAAAACTGAATTCATTGTTGTAGGTCGATTCAAGCCTCCATTCTTGTCTCAATAGCTTCATTGTGGTTCTCTGAACGTGTGCCAATCAATATCATCCATCCAAACGCAAGGAATTGGTACCTAGAACCGCAACTGTATCAAACAAATTGCATAATCATACATTCTATTATATGCGTTATTTGTGAATTTTGTTTATATATTCATGTTCCTGATGAAGTTTGTGAGCTAACCATCATGTTTAATTGCGTTATTACCCGGTATATCAAATTTCACCATGCGTGGCTTTTAGGGTTTTCAGCATTTTGAATTGGGGCTTTTGAAACGGAGTAAAATTAGGACTCCAGACCAGCACCATTGAATTTGACGCATCTGGACGAATGGGAAACACTACTCGCGATCAATTTATGAATCATATAGCGCTAGTCGCTATTTTTCCTAAAGCCATTTTCTGCAACGCGTGGAAAACCGTTGCCCTACGTTCATGTTTCAGAAAAAAGAAAAAAAGCACGCGAAGAGGACGATGCGTTGGCAACATATGATTAGCTGATTTGAACTTTCGCGCGTTCCCATCCACTAACTCTTTT